ATTCCGCGAGAATTTGCTGGTTCTTTCGTTAACATGTTATCTATTTTATTTAAGTTAATTCTTAGATTTTCCTTCGAGTATTTTTAAGCTTGTTGGTTGCATTGATTCCTTCGCTCGTTTATCAGTTGGTTGATGTAGTACTACGTTTGTTTTTGTACAAGTCAATAATTCCAGATCGTTATGAGAAATTCATCAGTATCTCTTCCACAGGTTTATAAGGCATCCAGACCTGGAATTCCTCTTCGTGTTTATTTCTTAATCTACGCTGGTTCAGTCGAGGAACAGGTAGTGATTCAAAAGCTTTTTTTTTCAGTTTTCGTTAAATTAACTTTGCAGGTGAGACATGTTTTTTAAACCATTGTTTTAGAAATACTTGACAACTCTTCGGAAAGAAAAAGAAGCGTTTGAAGTGCTGATAAAAAATAAAGGGGTAGGTTCATTTCTCTGTTATTTCTTAGACCTGAATTACATTGATTTATTGATCCACGCTCAGATATGTAATCAGCTATGAACACGTCCAAAGCTGTCTCTTAGGTTTGACCACAGAATATAGCAACAGTTACCATAATGGACATGACTCAGGAACTTGAGGCCTCAACATTTTGTTAAGTGGGATGACTTGGTTGAATTTTCCTGAGTATTTCCTGGTATCGATTAAGTGCGTGTTCTCTTAACGCCAAGTTTGCAGTTTGGGATCAGTCATAGAAGTAATTAGATCGTTTCTTAAAAACCCAAGCCTTAAAAGACAGAAAAAAAAAACAACTTCTTGTTGGATAATTCAGTGTGGCCATTTTGTTGTTGTGCTTTCCGTCCATATTTTTGCTCTGATCTACAGTGTAATACAGTGGCATATTGGGTGTGTTCCGATGCCCTTGTATGATAACATGGCATAGTAGTGGAACAAAAGTGTCAGAAATCGCACTCTTGTTTTTGCCTGTTGTAAAAGTTTTGCATTTGCACATTAAGACAAAGGTATAACTGAACTTCTTGCCATTTTAGTGGAGTGAAGCTTGGTAAGGTAATGTAC